CCTTTCTCACTTAGAATAGACAGCGCCGGGGCAAGGAAAGGGGAGATAATCCCCCCCCCCGCGCGCGCACACACACACACACACACACACACACACACTTACTATGGGGGGGGGCAGTAACTCACTTGCACATCTTGCTCTCGATCTGCAGGATCAGCTCAGACAAGTCCACCGCTTCTCAGCCACCCTGGTCTCCCACGCGCGAGGCTCCCGGCCAGATCCCGGGGGTCGGCGGCGAGTTCTCGGGACTGAAGTCGTCCCTGTCCCTGTCCCCGTCCCTCCTCTCGCTGCCTTCCACCCCAGAGCAGCCCGGCAGCTCCTACCAGGAGCGCTTCCACTCTTCCCATCAGGGAGAGGGGGGGAGGAGGAGGGAGGGGGGGAGCCAGGGGCTGGCAGCCCCACTCACACTGATGTCAACTAATATATTCAAAGTTCAACAGGGCATTTATTGACACGCAGCTCCCTCTCTTCCTTCCAGCGCGCACACAGCCTGGCTCGATGTTCTGCTCCCACTCCTCCTTAGCGGCTCACGATGCAGCCAGCGCCTCCCTCCGTAACCACGCTCCAGGAACCCGGGCTCCCGTGCATCTTAAAAAGCTTGCACGCGAGACCCACGTTAGCCGTTTGCACGGGGGGCTCGCTCGCCTCTCTAATAAAGCCGTTGCAATATTTGTCCTTGCCTTCTCTGTCAGGCACAATGCCTGCCTTGTGTGTGTTTGCTGAGGAACTGTTTCTCACGGGCTTACCAACTGCATAGCTGGGTATTTTCGCGTGCAAGCCGTTTGCAAGCCTGCTCGGCGCAGGAGTGAATAGCCGAGGGCATAATGCAAGCCCCCGGCTAGGAATGTTTGCATTTAACCCTTTAGGCGCGCAGCAACATTTTCTGCCTGGGGTGGAGGTGGAGCAGGCGGGTGCTGTTTGGTTGCAGAGGTTTTTTGGAAGCAAGCGAAAGTGAGAAGTTTAAACTTGGGCCCTGGGAAATTTTCAGAGCAAAGCGGATTAAGAAGCAAAGGAAATGCATACAGGCAACTCACTCCCTCTCTCTTCTGAGTGGAGTTTCCACGACTGCAGCGAGCAAACGAGTTCAGTTTGGAGGGAAACCTGAAAACACACAGCCCGGGCAGTAAGGGACTCATCTGTCAGGTCAGCTTTGGACCAACATTTTGGGCTCTAGAGTCACGGATCAGCCTTTTAAAGTTCCTACAAAATCTAAGACCAATGGAACTGTCTCCCTAAAACGTCCCATTGAAATTGCTTAACAAACAAATATTTCCCTGCACTGATTGCAACCCCCACACTGCAGCTTGGTGACACATTAGGAAGATTATTTGCTTTTTGGGAATGCCCACCCCACAATGGATTTATGTGATTTGTAAAGCAACAAGAAGGTAGGGTTCCTGCCCCAGACAGTTTGCAGAGTGGCAGACAGAGGGGAAGGGAAAGTGGTCATGGTAGTGTTGCCAGGATGCAACCCCATGCTCCAGATGTCCCTAAACCTCCAACTGTCAGAAGTTGGGACTGGACATGGGATGGATCACTTGATAATTGCCCTGTTCTGTTCATTCCCTCTGAAGTATCAGGGCCGGCTTTAGGCCGATTCCCCCGAATCGGGCCCCACGCCTAAGAGGGCCCTGCGCCCTAAAGAAGAGTACCTAACTTAGGCACCTTTTTAATTTTTTACTCACCCGGCAGCAGTCTGGGTCTTCGGCGGCACGTCGGCAGCGGGTCCTTCACTTGCTCCGGGTCTTTGGTGGCGGGACCTTCAGTGCTGCAGAAGACCCGGAGCGAGTGCAGGACCCGCCACCAAAGTGCCGTCAAAATCCCGGCTGGGTATTCTAATCGGGCCCCGCACTTACTAAAGCCGGCCCTGTGAAGTATCTGGCCCTGACTACTATCAGAAACAGGATGCTGGGCTAGATAGACCATTAGTTTGGCCCAGTATGGCCACATATGTTAATTGCCCTTGCTAGGTGATAATGTTTTCACATCACAATGAGGTGAGTGTGAACCAGAGGGATTTATCTCCAAGTGCCTCCAATCTAGCCATAATCAGCCAGTTGGTTTCTGGTCCAAGAGAATCTTTAGCAGGGTTCTGAATGCAGAGAGGATAGTGGCTGGAAAGTGAAATGAAACTGAGTGGTTTGTTTTATAGAGACAAGGTGGGTGAGATAGACCTTTTATTGGACCAACTTCTGTTGGTGAGAGAGTCAAGCTTTCATACATCTCTTTTTCAGGTTTGCTTTGTTTTCATTATTCTAAATTGAGAGTGTGACGTTGTGCAGTCTATATGGTTTTATAAAAATGTAAGTGAATATAATGTAACTGGGATATGCTTCATGCAAAAGGTCTCTTGTAAGGTATCATTACAAAGCTCATAATCTACTGAGTGTGATCATCCTATTTGTAGAAATGTACCACTCTTGTATCTAAAACTAGAAATATAAAACATAACTCTGAGGGCCTATAGTAATTATGTCAAGTGTGGGCCATTAAGGATGGTTTAGAATCTTGATGACTCCCATTGTCTGCAGATGGCTGTATTTACCTGTGAGTCTTCCTGTATATGTGTGTGCTGGCAAGTGAGTAATGAAGTCTTGCAGTGACATGTGATCATGTCACCTGAACTGGAATCCATCTTTAACCTGGTGCTTTTCCAGTGAGGGGAGGTGGAAACCCAGAGGGACAAAGGGTTCCCGCCTTATGCAAAAGATATATAAAGGGGTGGAAGAGAACAGAGAAAGGGAGAAGCCATCATGAAGAATCCCCTAGCTACCACCTG